GTCAAGCAAAGGGACAGAAGCGACATTTTCTAGATGAATAGCGACTGAAACTCTCTCAATGGGGCATTTGAATGCATTCTTCAATCTATTGATAGAAGCAATCCTAGATCCTGTTCGACTTCAAACAGGAACGAAAGTTAATCTATCCATTAAGCGCTGTATTTTAGGCATATCTTTACGAGTATCAAGAAGAATTGAAGTTTCCTTCTGAGTACGTGGAAGCAAAACTCTCACGGCGGGCGTGACGGCTGAAGTCCCAAGTATGTGCCCGTCTGAGAGCTTTCAATAATTTGTTGAAAAGGCAGAAGGTTCTCTGACGGCTGGTACCTCAACTGAACGTAGTGCTCGAAAGATTATATCATTACTTATTACTTACCATCGAAAAACATTGGAAAATGTAAATCCATTTTTAAATTGACACATCTTTCCAGCAATACTTAATTCACTAATTTATTGGGCCAATTTTAAAATCCATCTACTGCACATCAATTTGACAAGGCTGAAAGAGTAAGGTTTCTATGAAGTGAGTGAAAACATCTTGTTTCAAAAATAGAAGAGCATACGTGTGATTAGTTTTTTACAATTTTACTTAAGTCCTGAAAATTGTTATTTAAATCCGAAATTTTTCAGATTATTTTGCATTAAAAATTGTAATGAAAGCAACACTTTTTTCGTATACACTCGAATCGGTGTAAATTTCCCAGGAGTAATTTGTTTGGGAGACGAAATAATGATAAAGCAACATAATAGATCATCTCTTGAGTAATAATAATAGAGGTGCTCATACAAAATATTATTACTGGCCATTAGAGCAATGTGTTTACATGATCAGTCTATGAATAAAAACTAATGATAAATAATAAGTGTAATGTAAACACATTGCACTAATGACCAGTAATAGTATTTTGTGTAAGCATCTCTATTTTACTCAGGAGATGTCATAATCGTGATCTATTATGTTGCCTTAGCATTCTTAAGTACTCGAATAAATTCTTCTTGAGAAATTTACACCGATTCGAGTGTAAATGAAACTGGTTTTCCTTACTAATAGAAGTCAATAGTCGAGTTCGATTAAAATCCTATTGCAGCTATGCAAGTAGAAGAACAATCTAGAGCTCCACAACTTCCATGACCTGTAAAGCAATACTCGTACCATTTTGCCGTGTGATTGTGTGAACTATTTTCCACAGCTCAGAATAAATAAAATGAAAAATGAAATTTCATTCGTGAAATAGAGTTAAAAATCCTCTTTAATCGTGTATCTCAAATATACAACTTCTATCTTAATTTTTATAAAATCAGATATTTTCTGAGTTTTGTTTTATGACATCCAATCCAACCTGAACTTTTAAATCTCCTTTTTAATGACCACAGGAAACTGCATAACATTATGCAAACTCAGAATCCAGAGTTTTGACACGGAACAAATAAAAAATATTCCACAATCTTTCTTCATCCCTCAGGAGTAAAGTTTGGATTTGCTACAATGTATAATTAGGTTTTTTTTAAAAATATAGTGATTTTCCCCCTAGCGACGATTGTAGGAAACTAAAAATTATTTCCAGCATTTTCCTTTGACGATATTTATATACAGCTTTATTACCCCAAGGCTATATCTTTATTACCGAAATCTCGACCGAAATAAAACCGCTTGTCAATTTATTAAATAAATATTAAATTGGAAAAGGAGAAATTTGTTCGGGTGCAAGTGCAAGGTGTCTCAGGCGAACTTAATAATGAATAACATTATTCTGCCTGATTCACAACCTCCGTTTTGATGCAACCAAAAATAATCCAGTTAAATTATATTTGTACCAGGAAAGTTGTGGGGTAGTTTTGATTTCTTTGATTCTATATGTTTTTTGGAGTGCTGAATCCGAATCTGAGGTTTGCCAACAAAATTTCATGACGCAACATTGAAAAAAATACAAAAAAAGTCGAAAAAGATATTTTTTTGTCAGTTTTGTGCTTTCAACTCGAAAACTATCTACTTTTCGAAAATAACCTTCCTATTCAAAATGAAAGTACCTACATAAAATTTCCTACAGACTCCACTATTTAGTATTTTCCTCGATGAACCGTTCGGGTTCAAGCGCCAGTTGAAAATTGGCGTATTTCGGCTGCACCCACAAAACATAGTTTTTGGCATTAATCAATAAGTGAATTCCTTGCATTTACCTACTATTATTTGAACTTTATATGAAAGGGTGATTTTTTTGTCATTCATATAACGTTCATAACTTTTCATACAATTATGAATTGTATGAAAAGTTAATTTCTAACGAAAAACGGTATATCATATTATTATATTATTTATAATATATAATACTTATACTGTGCTATCTAAAACTATTCCCACTCTCTTCCGAACCAGATAAAGAAATCACAAGGCCCTACCGTAGCATGTTTCAATAATTATTGTTGAATTTGGAAAAGTGGCGCTGTGGTCATTATTAATTCAAAAAATTCAAAAAAAAGGGGTATATATATCTCCTATTCAACGGCATTATCCCTCTTGTCCCGGTGTTTAGGTCTTTTAAATACACTATCCAAGATTGTGAGCCAATGTCGTTTAGAAGGTCCTGAATGAGGTTTTTTGAAATCAGGTTTAACGATTGGACTGGATTGTTCTATGATAATCGTCGGGGCTTGATTTTCTGGAAAATGAGAATGAAAGAAGAACGACGGAATAGGTTGGGAGACCCAACATACCACCCAGATCGTGTAAGTATCTTTCTTCAGTCTGTTCTGGGTTTCCTTGTGCAGTTCCTTCTTCGTAAAATTAAATGCTGCATTCGGGGAGCTCGATATTTTCACACAACCCTTCACAGGATGTACAGATCTGGGAGCAATAGAGGCTTGTCTTTCTGCATCCGCAATTGCGTTGGCAGCCTTTTTTACATTTACAAGAAATTCGTCGTAGGATTGAGTCCGGTGCAGGATTCAATGTTGTTGGCACTGGCACAAGACCACTCTTTGTTTTTTCCACCCCCACCCGTTCAGGTCTTTTTGTTGTTCGTCTAGTAAAGTTTGACCGTATAACCACTGTTGCACTTGAAAGTAAACTCTCAGTGAATGTTGTCGAGCCGCAGCTTCGGTGGGGGTTAGTGAGGCAATGTTAGTTTTACTTTTATACGATGAAGATATATATTGCCTGTACCTCAAATCATTCAGGCTAGTTTCATGTCTTTTCTCATACAGAGCCATGAGAAATACGTTTCCAGCTTCGGCAATATCGTCCTGGTGTGCAAAAGGGTCTTTGAAAGTTTCAATGACTGGTTGCAAGTCATTGTCCTTCTGCAAAACTGGCAAATTTCAGTTTTCCCTGATTAAACAAAGCAGAAGTGGTGTCACAACCACTCATCGCGTGAATGAACAATATATGGTCTGATAATGTTTTGTCAGCAGCAAGATGAGGATTGTAGAGGGTTTGAGACACCTTTCCTTCTCCTGGTTTCAAAAATAATACATTATTTATTTCAGGGATACAAAGGCCAATCAAAATTACCAGAAGGTTGATATCTTCCCCAACCACTGTCACATATCCATTTGAGAGAGCCAAAAAAAGAGCTTTTCTGATAATTAAGACATCAGCATTCTCCACAGCTTGCTGTGACACAAATTTTGCATAATCAAGTTCTCCCATTAACTTAGATATCAACCTGCTCTTGTTTCTGGAGTTTGCAAGGAAACTCGCTCCTGCGCCATAGATTTGGTAAATGTTATTGCAGCAGATTGTTTTTTTTGCGCTCTTCTCAGTCGTTCTATGCGCTTGGTACTTGTACAAGCTTCGTCAGGGTATCCATCAAAAATTACAATGGAATTTGATTTGTAATTTGACTTGACATATGATACATAACTGCTGCCAATTTTAATTTAATTTTTAACACTACAAATAAACAAATCGTGTTGAATTGTGTTGTCGTAACTTCGCATAATTTGACAGCTGACATCCGTTGTTTTTTTGGTGGGAGGAGGGCTTGAAGACTGCAAAACGCAGGTACACGGTGACGTAATGGGCCTTGCCTCATCTGTGAAGGAGTGGGAGAGTTTTATTCCAGACGGAACAGTTATAAAATCTTTTGAGGAGGCCGGTAGACAATGAAAAGTACGGATTTATATTTGCACACAATAATAATAAAATAATAATAAAAGATGGGTATTTGCGGATACAGCCGAAATACGCCAACTTTCAACTGGCGCTTGAGCCCGAACGGTTCAACGAGGAAAAAAAACGAAATAGAGAAATCTGTAGGAAATTTTATGTACTTTCATTTTGAATTGGAGAGTTATTTTGAAAAGTTGATAGTTTTCCAGTTGTAAGCACAAAACTGACAAAAAAATATCTTTTTCAACTTGTATTTTTTTCAATGTTACGCCATGAAATTTTGCTGGCAAACCTCAGATTCGGATTCAGCACCCCAAAAAACATATAGAATCAAAGAAATCAAAACTACACCACTACTTTCCCGCTAGATGCCCGTTTGAGCACAAATAGCCTGCATTAAAAGGGGCGATAAATTTTCTGTAAGCATGTGGGACTTGGTTTAACCTCGGGTGTAACTATGTTGTAAATTTAATATCCTTACTTCTAAGGCGTTGATACATTTGCACACTTAAATGGGAAGAGGTTCGTGAACTAAATTTCAATATGATAAACACTAAATAACCCTACCCATTAGTGCATGAGGTTGTAATTTGAGATTTTTTGTACTTTAACCGCAAGCACTTATTCATTTTCACTTAAAAGTAATTATCCATAGAGTTACCAATTTTTGTAAATGTCGGATTGGCCAATATGGCATGTCCATTTAAATGGACGCTATGCAACGAAGACAAAAAAAGGAAACAATATCCAAATCAATAAATATGAGAAGATATTACTTTATATTTGTATTAACAATAAAAAAAAACCTTTGTTAAAATTAGAAATAATTATTTAACTAGTACCGAAGAGAAAATATGATAAAAAAACATGAAAAAAATGTGAAAATGAAACATTACTTCGAATGAAATAGTTTGAAACATTCTTTCGGGTGTAGGCCAGCATTGCATTTCTCACAAATAAAATTACACTTTTTTGTGCACTGCTTGCACCTTCGATGAGTTGCAGAATACACAACAAGATGTCCTACGTTATCAAATCTAGTATCAGTAGTCACTGTCGATACTCGTCCCTTAGTAGGAGGTGTTCCATATTTCTGCAACAAACTCTGTGCTAGGTATCTGCGAAATTTTAATAGGTTGACACAATTAGGGTCCTTTGGATTTAGTTTTCTCATCAACAGCCAACTATTTGTGACCGTTATGTCAAATAAATAGGCGAAAATTGGCCAATACCATTTTCGTTGTCTAATTCTTGATCTGTAAACTACAACTAACCCATCCATTTTATCAACACCCCCCATTCCTCGATTGTAAACGGATATTACTTCAGGCTGATCAATTGGCTTCTTCGATTTTGTCTCCCTGCACCAACGAGACGTTTTGACAACATTTATATTGGAGAAGTTAGAGGCCATTGTAACAACTTTATTATCTTTCCATTGAACGAGTAACAATTCTTTACTTCCAATGAACTTGTAACTTCCTCTCTTTTCTTTGTTCCATATTTTCTTGTCAGGGATGCCTGTGAAATAATTATCGAAGAATATTTTATAGCCAAGGTTACCTCCAATTTCTGCCTTTTTCAACAAAGAGATAACTACGTCTCCACCTAGTCCAAATTGATGTGCATTTGTCGATTTTCCCGTGTATATTTCAAAAGCAACACAATAACCTGTACTTGTACACAATGCCCAGTTTTTAAAACCAAACCTAATGGGTTTGCCTTTTATATATTGTTTTGCATAGTGCTTTCCATAGTACGGTATCATACTTTCATCGATTGAAATTTGTTCTTCTAACCCACCATGTTTTTTAAATGTGGTGTTTAGATGATCTATAATAGGTCGCAATTTGTACAATTTGTCTTCCGGGGTGATTGAAGAATTGTCGTTAAAATGCAAATGTCGTAAAATGGTTTCGAACCTATTGAGCCTCATGCTGTTAGATAATATTTTTGGGACGTCATCGGAAGTGGACCAATACATTCTTTTATTTGGACACTTTGTATATCCTGATAGCAGCATCGCTCCAAAAATCACGTATAATTCATTTTTTGTTATACATAAGTTTAAATTTTTTTGTTGTGCATATTTGTTCGTCTCGGTGACTATATGATTCATAATATTTTCATCCCAATGTAGATTTAAAAAATCTAACGGTGTTTCTGCACTCCGTGAGTCCGCTGAGGGTTGTCTGGGATCACAGTCTTGATTTACATCAAAAGTAGGAATATTTTGAGACCATACTGACGCCTTTTTTTGACGTTTGGAAGGAGGAATACCACTGGGCGATGTACCAAGGCTAGTCGATGTTGAAGGCTCGGGATTCAAATGGATATTATTAGCAGCCATTATATTGCTTTTAACAATAGAAAGTGGTGTATTGTAGTCGTCATCAGAATCTGAATCGTCATAATGAACTTCACATGGTTGATTCAAAATTCCTCTTGGAAGGTGATTAGGGTTAGCAGACTCTTCATCTGAATTGTCGCTGTCCTCTTCTGTTTCTGCAGAATTCTCATCTGGTGGCGATATATAAATAGCCGCGGGTTGATTCACTTTGTTATCTTCTTCTATAATTTCTAATAATTGATGCAATGATAGTCTGAAAAAAAGTACTTTTATGCATAATGTCCATTATAATGGACAGAATTGAAAAAAGTAATTTTTGAAAAGAAAAAAAATCACAAAATGAAAATAAACTTATTACAGGAATCTACAAACTCAGGAGAAACAATTGCCATGAACCCAGATCTAATATTGAATTTAATTGTTGTAAAAAAATGACTTACCCTCCATTACGCGTGGAATATAATCTTGGATCCATTTTGAGCACTAACTAAACACCTCACCGGTTGAAATATCTTTAGAGACTGAAATTATTCGCTGTCGTGTATTATTATAGAATGCACTAACAGGCACTAACCAGTCCGGACTTGCAAAAGTGAGGTTATAAAAAATAAAACAGTTGCGTCCATTATAAGACACACTATGCACTAATGGGTTCAAAATAATTTAGGGCCAATTGCACCGTCAAAATTAAGTATCCCTTAAAGTTAAGCATAACTTAAATACCATAGCAACGATGGTCTTAATAATCGTTGCCATAGATTTTAAGCTCGACATAACTTTAAGCAAGGCTCAACTTTGTTGGTGCAACTGGGGCTTAACCCTTTAATTAAAATACACATAAAATAGAAACCCTTTGGTTAATCGAAAAATTGCATGTGACTGTAATACCTTAAGGGGTCTTTCTTTTAAATTTAAACTGCTTAACCAAAAAAAACAAGCTATTTAACAACAAACTTAAATCGTTATCATACCCTTACATTATATTATAATTATATTATATTATATTAGGAAATCTAATTCACGGCAGTTGAAATACAATATAGTAACCAAATCTTGCAATACCTTCTAATTCGGGTTAGCATGATGTCGTATCGTCTTAATCGAAAATTCCCCTAGGCGAAGACTCGTAGTCGTGGTCTATGAAGTTACAGGAATTACCCATGGCGCGAAATATGTAGATGAATTTGAATTGAAGATCTTTCCTTACTAGTTTTATACGGGTTGCTCGGGTCAAGGTGCGTCTTTTGATAATGAAGATAAAAGTTCATCAACTTCGGCGCGTGTTGGAATACGTAGTGCACGCTTAGAGTATTCTACTTCGTGCCAATATCCCTTTTCTATTTGAAGTTTGCGCAATTGTAAAACGAACTTAACTGTCTTATTAATACTGCACTCGTTGCTTTTCGTATAGCTTAGATGTCTGAAAGTTGGCTGCGAGACAATTACAAAGGCCACTTTGGGACAAATACCTACTGCCAAACAATAATGGAAATATGATTACATTTAGTGTATATATTTTTTAAAATTAAGGTAAACTGATTCAATTAAGACTCCATCTTGAATGTTTTAAATTAATATCATTTTTATTTCAGAACGAAGCGAAATAACACTTTTTGTGTCATCGCTTTAGTCAAGTAAGACTATTCACAGCGTCTTCTGTTTTGAAGGATGTTATAGCCACATGTAACGTGCCTGCATATTTAACACTTTACTGATATAAGACATAAGATTGTAAATCACACCTTAACATTACGGTTTTTGTGGATAGTTAATTTCTAAGTAATAATAATCCTGAACTACAAAGTTTGACTAGATTAAATATAATACGGTGATATTTATTCAGAAGTAGACATATGGTTTTACATGTATTGTTTTTCCCTACTTTTAAAAGACAAAATCTCTTCTGAAGGGCGCCTAATTTTATGCAACCAAAAAACTTCTTATAACAAATAAAGATCTGGCTGTCATATTAATTAATTTGAATATTGTTGCTTTGGCTTCACAGAAAATAAATCTATAGATCAATTGACAATAACAACTTTTCCTTCAGATGAATACATCGCACATGAACGAAAATTAAAATACGGAAACTGAAGCAACAATATTCAAATTAATTAATATGACAGCCAGATCTTTATTTGTTTTAAAAAGTTATTTTAGTTGCATAAATCTAAATTTATGCAACTAAAATAACTTTTAATAACGCACTTCAGGAGTAATTTTGTCACTTAAAAGTAGACATAGGGAGAAATATTAGACGTAAACCCCTATGTCTACTGCTTAATATCACTGTATAATAAAAGAATTGCAGCTGCGAATGAATTTTTTGCGTGATGCTAAATTACATAAACTTGCTAATTGCTTGACAAACAAACCTCCCGCAAATTATAAAATGCGATTAGCATCGTAAAAAATTACCTGAAACGGTTAACCTATGCTTCTGATATATATCGTTTACGTCAGCCTGGACACTTTAATGGGAAAAAATGGAGACTGTGCATGTCGGTACGTGCTCTGCGCAACCAATTTTAAAAATGAAGACAAACATGTAAAAGGAAGCAGAAGGATTCATTAGAAGATAATTAGATCACGCCTGTAGCCTGCGAATCTGACGAAGTTCGTTCTAACAAAATTTCTCCAGCAGTTTTGTTGACGTGAGTTGGTACCCGTCAGTTTGTGTATCTATCAGTTAAGTTTAATACATTGTGGCGTCGAATGATTACCGAGATTATATTCGCCGTTAAACTTATGGAATAAAATACCGTGACATAATGCAGGGTGACAACAGTTTAAATGGTAAAATTCGGCACTTAAACTTTGATTTTCTCCAAAAACAGACAAGTAAAAAATATCAAAATTATTAATATTCCATTCGAGTCTACACCTTCATAAAAATGAAGAAGGGGCTGAAAGAACACGAAGGTTATTAGATATCCATCAGGATTTGAATTAGTAACTGTAATTTTATTCACCACGACTTCGTAACTTAATATTGATTAGATACGCCGAATAGAAACAACCACATTAAAAAAAAGAGGGGAAAACTGCCATTTCGGCGGTGCGCAACCCTTTAGCGATAAGTACACCTTAAAGCTTATTACTCTATAAAATTTTGCATATCTCCCCAACCTAATTTTCATCCACCGATCTCTGCGGCTCGTGTCAAGTATATCCTTACAAAAGGATTTCAACAATCACTTCAGTTGCCAATGTAAGAACATAGTATAGCGTTTTGTCATTATCAAGTATGGTGGCTTCAGCCTACTGTCTTTCTCCACCTTTGCATAATATTTTCGATTATCACAAAAAAACCGTGCGTGCCTAGGCGTGATCAATCATACAATTCTTCGCTTAAATAACTAATTAATTCAATTAATTACTTAATTTTTTTTATCATAGCACTACATTAATTGTAAACACGGCAAAGTTTTAATGGAATCTACTTCGGACCATATATCATCAGTTATTTTCTTAATTGAATTGGGAAATGGGAAATTCGATACTAGACCTCGTTTCATTTCCATTTAGAGTTTCACTTATTCTGCGTCGCCTCTTTCAGTGTTGCGTCATCTGTAAAGTAAAGTTACCGAGAACAGTGAGATATTGCCAAAAATATAAGACGTGCATTTGCATAAAAGCAAAGAATTGTATGAGGAAGTTTAGTGTAATAACGTACGGTACTAAGAAAGTTCTTTTGATCTAATTTTCTATATCTACGGATGAAGATCGCTCAACAGGAAACCAATTACGTATTGTAAATTTCTAAATGTGACAAGCCTGCGATCTTTCAAAGAAAGTAAGGAATATGGATTTTGAAGAAGGCGGAATGACAATTATAAACTTTTCTCCTAGGTTCTCATATACCTACGTTCAGCGAAATTCCTACGCTTACTGTATGGAGATTGAACTTACATGAATGCGAGTGTTTCGATTTAATGTAACCCTACGATTCCATATTGGCGGATTTAATCAGAAGCTTTAGACTATTCTAGAATATTCTTCGTATGGATCATACTGTATAATTGATTACATCGCATAAACACTTAATACAATCTTGATTGTTTCCATATGATCCACAACATAGATATCAGCAATACAAACCAAACAGAGGTCTAAGACAATTAATATAACCCCCAATAAAATATTTATACAACGCGTTCAAAGTAAACTATTGCTATCTTTGTTATTATTACAGCTACAATTTGTTACAGGAAACGGCAACTTTCTAATATCATAAAAACTTAAGCAAAATAAAAATATTTATTCTGGGGATTTTGGAAAAATGAGTGAAATGTTTATGTTTTAGTATGTTGGTACAAACTTTATGATGGATTGCGAAATTGAATTTTTATTTTTAAAATCTCTAGATTGTGATTATGGGACCACTTGTTTCTTGGTGGTTCTGTTGAAACAAATCTGACTGAAACCTTAATTGTCAATGGTTGCACAAATTTTCGTTTCGTTCTACTTTCCTCAAAAAGTTTCATAATCTAAATACAGAGATTTAGTAAACTACCCCTCTTTTGCAGTGTAGAATCCAGTGATACACAGAAAGAAAAAAATAACTGATCACCTTATTTACAACATCGCGAGTTTTATGGAGTCTGAAACTTTTCAAATTCCGAAAACAAAATGATTAAGTGACCGTTATAGAAGAAAATGCGTAAAATATCGAAATAGGCTAATATCAAAAAAATTACAATAAGAAACTCCGA